GTGGCTACGGGCATGCTTCCTGTACATTGTTTTTCAATCTTATAATTTTTTATACTTCTTTTAAATAATTGTGCAAATAGACAGAAAAAAATAAAGGGAAACCCGGTTACCTCCGGTGTCGCCAGTCTGGGACGTCTCCTGTCCCTCCGACATGATGCCAGTTGTCTGGTTTCTGCACAGCAAAAACACGTCCTGCACCAGGCACGGCGTTTGTCGACTGACGCGAGGCCTTGGCACCTTACTGACGCCCACGTGGCAACTGAAACAGCTTTACGTAACCTGCTACAATTAAGGTGCAATAAAGTTTGATTGATCGTAAAGACCAGCACGCAGGTAATGCATTTTTTGTACTAACTAGTCTACGTAACTTAAAAACTAAGGGATGAAAGCTAAGCAAGGCAATCAGCGCTACATTTTGAAGTGATAGCAAACGTAATTATTATTTTTTCTTCAAAGTAAAAAGATATGTCCAGTACCCACGCATCGCTCTGCTAAACATAATTGCAAGTCAGTAAAAAAATATTGTTCAACATTAGGCAATTTTCGTGTAAACAACTAGTGGTATTATGTTTTAATGTTCAAAGAATCATGCCAAAATGCTATCATGGTCTTTTAAAAACAAAAATAACAAGCTTATGTCTTCAGTCGTAGGGGGCCGAAACTTACGTCATATCTTTCCCAGCACAAGACCTACCTACCATCCAAATTTCGTCACCCTAGCATGTCCAGATCATGAGATATCAAAACCGAAAGTTCAGCTGCAGTACCATAACAAGCCGCCAGGGGGGCCCAAAATCTAATCATCTCGAGGTCTCATCAAGACCTACCCACCTACTAAGTATGAAGACAATCCATTTAAGCCTTCTCAAGTTAACGAGCTTACAGACACGCACAGAGACAGACAGACAGACAGACACACACGCACGCACGCGCGCGCACGCACGCACAAACACACACACACACACACACACACACACACACAACGCCTACGAAAACATAACCATCTTGGCAAAGGTAATAAACCTGCCTTTGCTCCAAGACACATGTACATTTATTGGATAATCAGGTAACAAAACTTGACCTCTTGACTGCCTGGCTGGGGAGTACTTCCGGGTCACGGCATCGCGTCTTCCTGTCCCGCAAGGACGCGGCATCTTGAGCAGTTTTCCGTCTTTGGAGGAGTTTTGCAGCGATTCAACAGGCGACTCGGCCCGGACTGTGTATCAACTAACTTCCAGGTAGGAAAAGTCGGCATGTAGTTGGTATTCAGGGGTTTGTAGAGTTGGCAAACAACGGTTCATGATATTTGTGTGGCGGCGTGCGTTTGGGCCAGTGTGCGTGTGATCTGGGCCGTGCTGTTTATAATTCAGTCAAGGAGCTTCAAAGATTTGTTTCAGTGCAGCTGCGCAAAGAAAAGTCGTAGATTCTACGTTTGAATGTTGGGCTCTCAAATTATTGTATCAAAGTTAGGGCCTGCCGCCTGTTAGTTGATAACGTAAACAGAGTTAGGGTCGGTGAGGGGTTACCAGATTATGTTGTGTGTCGCATCGAAAATAAGCAATAATATTCTCGCTATCCAATGTGCAATTTTACAGACTGAAAAGGATATTCACTGTTATGACGGGATTCTGGTGTTGGTGATGAGGAAAGTGTAAATCTAAGACTAAGATAATTCTGAGTATACTGTAAACCCCTACTCGAGCCCCGCCTAATTCTCACATCTGGATTCCATCCCGCCCTGACGCCAGACAGGAGAGTGTGAAAACAACGGGACGTTTCATTAATGATGGGAGGCTGTGAATAACTTTAAATCTCTTAGCGAAACACAGAAAAAACATTTGCTCAATAAAGATTCATATATTAAATTGGCACGACAGTATTATTGGCAGTTGAGTATCCATACGCAACTGAAGTATGGGTGGAAAAAATGTACAAAACGAACGCCCACAAACACGTTAAAAATAAGCCGAAGCCCACATCCATTGCATGAAAAGTATGTAGGCCAAGGGACAGTTCACTAACTGTTGCAATGTTACTCTCAAAGACCCTGCATAGCATCAGTAACAACGTACAGTAAAGACAGCTCACTGTTAGCCTGTCTTTTATGGTGTCTCTGTGGTTTCAGTTCTGCTAGTTGTTTTTTTTAATGTAATTATTACAGATGATGCTTACAACTCGACTATTCATAGTACTACTCAACTATCCTACTATACTCCTGAACTATACATATTTCAGCATGTTTTAAAATCGCTTATTACCTTCGCCAAGAAGGTTATGTTTTCAGGGGCGTTCCTGTGTCTGTGTGTGTGTGTGTGAGCACGATAACTCAAGAAGGCTAAGATGGATTGTCTTGATATTTGGTAGGTGGATAGGTCTTAATAAGACAAGGAACTGATTAGATTTTAGGCCCCTAGCGGCTTGTTATGGTACTGCAGCTGAACTTCTGGTTTTGATATCTCGTGATCTAGACATGCTAGGGTGACGAAATTTAGATGGTAGGTAGGTCTTGTGCTGGGGAAGAAGTGACGTGAGTTTGGGCCCCCTAGCGGCTTGCTCGGGAACTGCAGGGGCGTTAGTTGAAAAATGTTTAAAGGCGGATAACTCAAGAACCGATTGATGGATTGTCATGATTTTTGGCATGTAGGTAGCTGAAGTGATGCTTGACATAATAATATTATAATTATGCAAATATTAATGTAATTTGCATAATCAATGAGGAAATTCTATAAATCAGCTGCATTCCACGATAGGACTATTCAAGCTTGTGACATATGTAATTAAGAACGGCAGAAATACAGGCAGATATCGATTATGCAAATGAAGCCTTAATTTGCATAATTAATGAGAAAATGTTACAATTACATAGTGGTAACTGTCTGGAATTTCATACTTGGGATATTTAAAAGTTATGTGAAGGTGAATATAATTAAACATAACTTATTCAAATAAGGACCTTATTTGCATAATTTATGAGTAAATACTATAATGGCATTCTTTGATAAGATAAGACTGTCTTCTGGTGTAGAATATGATCAACAGATATAATTGATGCAATATAGGATCCTATTTTCACAATCGGGGATTAATCTATAATTTCTTAGTCATAAAGGCTAACATCATTTGGCGAAGGTATGAGATCGTGGAACTAGTTTCATTTTCTTTACAGAGGTTGATCCAGCTCTCGTTGACATGGCAGCAACAGGCAGCACGGAAGGCTTGGGTGACGTCATGAGAGGATCAGCGGGGGGTTCAGCCAACACCGTTTCCACCTGGCAAGGAGGATCAGCAGGGGGTTCTGCCAACACCGTTTCCACCCGGCAAGGAGAAAGCTGTGAGGAGTCTGGAGAGGAAACCGGGAGGCAGGACAAAGGTGTGAAAGTGTTCAGGTGTGAGGAGTGTGCCAAGCAGTTTAGTTGTCTTAGTGCTCTGGAGACACACATGCGGACTCACACAGGTGAGAAACCCTACAGGTGTGAGGAGTGCGGCAGGCAGTTCAGTCAGCTGGGTCATCTGAAGAATCACATAAAAACTCACACTGGGGAGAAACCTTACATGTGTGAGGAGTGCAGCAGGCAGTTTAGTGAGCTGTGTAATCTGAAGAGACACATGCGGACTCACACTGGTGAGAAACCCTACAGGTGTGAGGAGTGCGGCAGGCAGTGCAGTCGGCTGGATGATCTGAAAAGACACATTCAGACACACACAGTAAAAAAACCCTACAGGTGTGAGGAGTGCAGCAGACAGTTCAGTCAGTTAGCTGATCTGACGACCCACATGCGGACACACAGTTGTGGGGAGTGTGCCAAGCATTTCAGTTATCTTAGTGCTTTGAAGACACACATGCGGACTCACACTGGGGAGAAACCCTACATGTGTGGGGAGTGTAGCAGGCAGTTCAATGAGCTAGGTAGTCTGAAGAGACACATGCTAACTCACTCTGGGGAGAAACCCTACATGTGTGGGGAATGTAGCAGGCAGTTTAGTGAGCTTGGAACTCTAAAGAAACACATGCGGACTCACACAGGAGAGAAACCCTATATGTGTGAGGAGTGCAGCAAGCAGTTCAGTCGGCTGGATAATCTGAGGACTCACATGCGAACTCACACAGGAGAGAATCCCTACAGGTGTGAGGAGTGCAGCAGGCAGTTCAGTCAGCTGGGTAATCTGAAGTCACACATGCGGACTCACACAGGAGAGAAACCCTACATTTGTGAGGAGTGCGACAGGCAGTTTAGTCAGCTGAGTAATCTTCAGAGCCACATGCGGACTCACACAGGAGAAACCCTACAGGAGTGCTGTTATAAGCCAATTTGACGCACAATCTAAGAACCTTTCTTGTGTAAGATGTGCCAGAGACACTGCATGGAGGCCTGAAAGCCTCGATGTTATACATACCTTTTAGCTTTACTTGTACGTGATAAATATTGTATTCTTAGTTATTGTTGCCTTTATTTTGGCATATATAATCCCTTTGTTTTGGATCCGGAAGCATCCACTTCTGTTATAGGTGATATATATTACACAGTCTCTTTAGTCAGGGTAGAACGACATGCAAAATATTCAACTAGAAAATTAGTGTTCCAGGGAGATATTTTTTGTTGTTATTTTTAGCATGTTGAGTCTTTATCTTTTCTTGATTTCTTGACATTTTTTATTACTTTTAAAGCCGTTACAAAATATTTAGTTTTGAGAGGAGTTAACTAACATGCATTGCATGGTTTTATCTATAACTCCTCTTTATATGTTGTATTGTTCTCATAGGTAGTTGTTGTTCGGTTGGGTTAGTTGTACTTAATTGTTGTTGTTTTTATCGCATTAACGTTAATGGTGTTGATAGTTGATCTACATAATCAGTAACTAACATCGGGAAGTGATTGTACACTTGAGTTAGCGTTAGGTTTGTAGGAATGTACTACTTTCGTTTTCTTATTAAAGTTTCCTGTTGAAGTTTCCTTGACTAAGTTTGTGCCCACATTTTCTATTTACTGAATTATATCTTTTTACTACTCTACTTTCAACTCAGTATTTTGTATCTTATTTTAGAGGATAGTCATTCGTAGATTGAACGTTACATTGGAGATACCAAGCGCGTCTAGCTCTGCTTGACTGTTTCTAACAGTCAATTAGATATAGAAGTCCAAATACTACGTAAGTGTTAACGGGCCTAAATTTCCCCTCCTAGCTCTGATTGGCGGATGTTTTTCCGCTAATGAGATATAGGAGGTTACCATGTAATCTTTTCTTTCAAATATCTCTGTCAGCATTTAATATAACATTTTAATGTCTTGGGGTGGCGGGACTACGGCGCACAGATATGTCAACTTTAAATGTCAATTGTACCTTTTTGTTGTGTGGCGCTGTTAATATAAGTTGTTAACTTGAGTGCAGCGCCACACTGTCCTTGTTATGTTTTTATGTTTTTGATGAATAAAAAAAAAGTAACGTTTCAGAGTCTGAGCCATTACCACTGATTGCCATGACGTCACAGCAAGTGGTAGGGCCTAGGAAAAATGTTGTGTTTCCTGTTTCCCAACCGACCCTAAAATAAACTTCCGACCCTAGACTTTTTTCAGAGTCTTCATATCATGAAATAAATCGACAATCTAAAATGTTGATTACCTGGTCAAATACATATAGTTCGTGACCTAAAACACTGGTCGATGACCACTAATTCCATTTTTTCTGTCACAAATTATTCCCGATTACCAACCTTTGCTCCAAGGCCCGTGCACATTTGTTGGGTAATCAGGTAACGAGACTTGACCATCTGACCCCATCCCGGCTGGGTAGTACTTCCGGGTCACGGCATCGCGCCTTCCTGTCCCGCAAGGACGCGGCATCTTGAGCAGTTTTCCGTCTTTGGAGGAGTTTTGCAGCGATTCAACAGGCGACTCGGCCCGGACTGTGTATCAACTAACTTCCAGGTAGGAAAAGTCGGCATGTAGTTGGTATTCAGAGGTTTGTAGAGTTGGCAAACAACGGTTCATAGTATTTGTGTGGCGGCGTGCGTTTGGGCCAGTGTGCGTGTGATCTGGGCCGTGCTGTTTATAATTCAGTCAAGGAGATTCAAATACTTGTTTCAGTGCAGCTATGCAAAGAAATGTCGTAGTGTGGATGTGGGATTGTCTGAGAAATTTCTGGATTCTACGTTTGAATGTTTGGCTCTCAAATTATTTTTTATGGAAGTTAGCAGCTGCCGCCTGGAAGTTGACAACGTAAACAGAGTGAGGGTCGGTAGGGGGTTACGAGATTATGTCGTGTGTCGCATTAAAAGTTAGCAAAAATATTCCTGCAATCCAGTGTGCAATTTTACAAACATAAAGGGATATTCGCTGTTATGAAGATCTAAGACCAAGCTAATCTTGAGTATACTGTAAACCCCTATGTGAGCCGCTTCCAATTTATCACATCTGGATTCCATCCCGCCCTGACGCCAGACGGGAGGGTGTGAAAACATCGGGACGGTTCATTAATGATGGGAGGCTGTGATGAACTTTGAATCTCTTAGCGAAACACAGAAAAACATTTGCTATATATTAAATTGGCACGACAGTATTATTGCCATACGCAACTGAAGTATGGATGGCAAAAATATACAAAACGAACGCCTACAAACACGTCAAAAATAAGCCGAGGCCCACACCATTGCATGAAAAGTATGTAGGCCAAGGGGCAGTTCACTAACTGTTGCAATGTTACTTTCAAAGACCCTGCATAGCATCAGTAACAACATACTGTAAAGGCAGCTCACTGTTAGCCTGTCTTTTATTACTCAGTGGTTTCAATTCTGCTAGTTGTTTGAATCTTGTTTAGTAACTTTTTACAGATGATGAGCACTTGTTTACATGTACTATATACTACTCAACTACATATATTACTACTCAACTATACGTAGTGATACTCAACTTTGCACAGTACTACTAAACTATACGTAATGCTACGCAACTATACATATTGTATGTTTATACTTCATTTTTTTTACAGAGGTTGATCCAGCTCTCGTTGACATGGCAACGGCAGGCAGCACAGAAGGTATGGATGACGTCATGAGAGGATCAGCAGGGCGTTCTACCAACGTCGTTTCCAACTGGCAAGGAGGATCCGCAGGGGTTTCTGCCAACGTCGTTTCCAACTGGCAAGGAGGATCCGCAGGGGGTTCTGCCAACACTGTTTCCACCTGGCAAGGAGGATCAGAAGGGGGTTCTACCGACACCGTTTCAACTTGGCAAGGAGGATCAGTAGGGGGTTCTACCGACACCATTTCGACTTGGCAAGGAATATCAGCAGAGGGTTCTACCGACACCGTTTCCACCTGGCAAGGAGGATCATCAGGGGGTTTTGCCAACACTGTTTCCACCTGGCAAGGAGGATCAGAAGGGGGTTCTACCGACACCGTTTCAGCTTGGCAAGGAGGATCAGCAGGGGGTTCTGCCGACACCGTTTCCACCTGGCAAGGAGAAAGCTGTGAGGAGTCTGGAGAGGAAACAAGGAGGCAGGACAAAGGTGTGAAAGTGTTCAGGTGTGAGGAGTGTGGCAAGCAGTTTAGTCAGCTGAGTATTCTGAAGACTCACATGCGGACTCACACTGGTGAGAAACCCTACAGGTGTGAGGAGTGTGGCAGGCAGTTCCGTCATCTATGTAGCCTGAAGACACACATGCGGACTCACACAGGGGAGAAACCCTACATGTGTGAGGAGTGCAGCAGGCAGTTCAATGAGCTGAGTCATCTGAAGTCACACATGCGGACTCACACAGGAGAGAAGCCATACCGGTGTGAGGAGTGCAGCAGGCAGTTCAGTGAGCTTGGAAGTTGGAATAGACACATGCGGACTCATACTGTGGAGAAACCCTACAAGTGTGAGGAATGCAGTAGACAGTTCAGTCAGCTGGGTGATCTGAAGAGACACATAAGGACTCACACTGGTGAGAAACCCTACATGTGTGGGGAATGCAGCAGGCAGTTTAGTGAGCTTGGAAGTCTGAAGAGACACGTGCTGACTCACACAGGGGAGAAACCCTACAGGTGTGAGGAGTGTAGCAGGCAGTTTAGTCAGCTGGGTCATCTGAAGACTCACATGCGGACTCACACTGAGGAGAAACCCTACCGGTGTGAGGAGTGTGGCAGTCAGTTCAGTCGGCTAGGTAATCTGAAGACTCACATGCGGACTCACACCGGGGAGAAACCCTACAGGTGTGAAGAATGCAGCAAGCAGTTCAGTGAGCTGAGTAATCTGAAGACACACATGCGGACTCACACTGGTGAGAAACCCTACAGGTGTGAGGAATGCAGCAGGCAGTTCAGTCAGCTGGGTGATCTGAAGAAGCACATGCGAACCCACACTGGTGAGAAACCCTACGGGTGTGGGGAGTGTGGCAGGCAGTTCAGTGACCAGAGTAGTCTGAAGAGGCACGATCAAACCCACAAAGGAGAAACCCTACAGGGGTGAAGACTGTGGCAGACTGTTTAGCAGCACAAGTTATGTTATAAGACAATTTGACGCGCAATTTGACAACCTTGTTTTGTGTAAGATGTTCCAAAGACACAAAATGGATGTGAGAAAGCCTACAGATTCAATGTGATGATAGCTGCATAGGAAGTTCACTTGAAGACTATAACTAGTATCAGTAAACCCAAATTGTTTGGTTTAGCTAATCTCTTTCAATTTCTGCATATTATGCCTTACGATTATATACACGGATTTACTTATACCTTCCATATATTTTTCATTTCTTTAATTACTGTTGCCTTTATTTTGGCATATATGTCCCTTTGTTTTCGAAACATCCTTCTGTTATAGGTGATATAATCTTGGTAGAATTTAATACCAAATATTCTACTAGAAAATTAGTCTTGTATGGATCTATTTTGTTTTGTTTACCAGTAGTTTTTTTTAGCATGTTGACTTTTTTCTTTTCTTCATAGTTGACATATACAAGAATGCCATCACAATATATAACTTATGTTTTTGACACAAGTTTACTAACATGCTGTAAATGCTAAAATCTTTGTTTTTTTTTCTGTAATTAGTCATAATATGTTGTACAACACCTACGGTATTGTTCACCTAGGTACTTTTTGTACCTTAACGTTTGGTTGAGTTAGCCGTACGTTTTGTTGCTATTTTTATCGCATTAACTTTGATAGTATAGATTAGATGATGTACATAATCAGTAACTAACATCGGGAAGTGATTGTACACTTGAGTTAGCGTTAGGTTTGTAGGAATGTACTAGTTTCGTTTTCTTATTAAAGTTTCCTTGACAAAGTGTACCCACATTTTCTATTTACTGAATTATATCTTTTTACCACTCTACTTTCAACTCAGTATTTTGTTCGTTTTTTTTTTTTATTTTAGAGGATAGTCATTCGTAGATTAAGAGTATCGGGGTCTGAGCCATTACCACTAATTGCCATGACGTCACAGCAAGTGGGCCTAGCAAAGAATAATTTTTCCTGTTTTCAGACCAACCCGACAAAAAACATTCCGACCCTAGCCTTTTTTGAGAGTCTTCATATTATTATTAAGTATCAATCTAGAATGTTGATTCCCTGGTCAAATATATATATTTCGTGACCTAAAACACAGGTTGGTGACCACTAATTCCATTTTTTCTGTCACAAATTATTCCTGATTACCAGCCTTTGCTCCAAGGCCCGTGTACATTTGTTGGGTAATCAGGTAACGAGATTGACCTCCTGACACCATCCCGGCTCGGTAGTACTTCCGGGTCACGGCATCACGTCTTCCTGTCCCGCAAGGACGCGGCATCTAGCAGTTTTCCGTCTTTGGAGGAGTTTGGCAGCGATTCAACAGGCGACTCGGCCCGGACTGTGTATCAACTAACTTCAAGGTAGGAAAAGTCGGCATGTAGTTGGTATTCAGAGGTTTGTAGAGTTGGCAAACAACGGTTTCTGATATATTTGGTGTGGCGGCGTGCGTTTGGGCCAGTGTGCGTGTGATCTGGGCCGTGCTGTTTATAATTCAGTCAAGAAGAGTCAAACATACATTTGTTTGGGTGCAGTTGCTCAAAGACTTGTCGTAGTGTGGATGTAGAATTATCTGAGAAATTTCTGGATTGTCCGTTTGAATGTTTGGCTCTCAAATTATTGTTTATGGAAGTTAGCAGCTGCCGCCTGGAAGTTGACAACGTAAACAGGGTGAGGGTCGGTAGGGGGTTACGAGATTATGTCGTGTGTCGCATTAAAAGTTAGCAAAAATATTCCTGCAATCCAGTGTGCAATTTTACAAACATACAGAAACAGACAGAAAAGTATATTCACAGTTATGAAGGGATTCTTGTGTTGGTGATTAGTCATTAGGAAAGTGTAAATCTATTAGTATAAGCTAAACCTGGGCATACTGTAAACCCCAACCCGAGCCCCGCTTACTTCTCACATCTGGATTCCATTCCGCCCTGACGCCAGACGGGAGAGTGTGAAAACATCGGGAGGGTGTGTTTAACTTTAAATCTTTTAGCGAAACGCAGAAAAACATTTGCTATATATTAAATTTGCACGACAGTATTATTGGCAGTTGAGTATCCATACGCAACTGAAGTATGGGTGGCAAAAATATACAAAACGAATGCCTACAAACATGTCAAAAATAAGCCAAAGCCCACATCCATTGCATGAAAAGTATGTAGGCCAAGGGACAGTTCACTAACCGTTGAAATGTTAATGTTACTCCCAAAGACCCTGCATAACATCAGTAACAACATACAGTAAAGACAGCTCACTATTTGCCCGTACCATTTAGCAGTTGAGTATTCTTGAGGTATAGATGGCAAAAATGTGCCAGATGACAAAAACGAAGGCCTACAAACACGTAAAAAATAAGCCGAAGCCCACACCGTTGCATGACATGTATGTAGGCCAAGGGGCAGTTCACTAACTCTCAAAGACCCTGCATAGCATAAATAACAACGTACAGCAAAGACAGCTCACTGTTAGCCTGTCTTTTATGGTGTCTCTTTGGTTTCAGTTTTGCTAGTTTGTTTGTTTATTGAGATCTCCATTAGTATGGTCAACTCCGTTCTATTCTTCCTGGAGTTTTTTAGTAATTATTACAAATGGTGAGCATTCGTTTATATGCCTTAAACATACTACGTTGTACTACACAACTATACATATTTTCGCATGTTTATACATTGTTTGTTTGATGTTTTACAGAGGTTGATCCAGCTCTCGTTGACATGGCAACAACAGGCAGCACAGAAGGTATGGATAACGTAATGAGAGGATCAGCAGGGGGTTCTGCCAACACCGTTTCCACCTGGCAAGGAGGATCAGCAGGGGTTTCTGCCAACGTCGTTTCCAACTGGCAAGGAGGATCCGCAGGGGGTTCTGCCAACACTGTTTCCACCTGGCAAGGAGGATCAGCAGGGGGTTCTTCCGACACCGTTTCAACTTGGCAAGGAGGATCAGCAGGGGGTTCTGCCAACACCGTTTCCACCTGGCAAGGAGGTTCAGCAGGGCGTTCTTCCGACACCGTTTCAACTTGGCAAGGAGGATCAGAAGGGGGTTCTGCCAACACCGTTTCCACCTGGCAAGGAGGATCAGCAGGGGGTTCTGCCGACACCGTTTCCACCTGGCAAGGAGAAAGCTGTGAGGAGTCTGGAGAGGAAACCGGGAGGCAGGACAAAGGTGTGAAAGCGTTCAGGTGTGAAGAGTGTGCCAAGCAGTTTGGTCGTCTTAGTCATCTGAAGAGGCACATGCGGACTCACACAGGGGAGAAACCCTACAGGTGTGAGGAGTGTGGCAGGCAGTTTAGTCAGCTGCGTGAACTGAAGACTCACATGCGGATTCACACTGGTGAAAAACCCTACAGGTGCGAGGAGTGTGGCAGACAGTTCAGTCAGCTGGGTAATCTGAAGCGACACATGCGAACTCACACAGGAGAGAAATCCTACAGGTGTGAGGAGTGCAGCAGGCAGTTCAGTGAGCTGAGTAATCTAAAAACACACATACAGACTCACACGGGGGAGAAACCCTACAATTGTGAGGAGTGCAGCAGGCAATTTCGTCATCTAAATAGCCTGAAGACACACATGCGGACTCACACAGGAGAGAAACCCTACAGGTGTGACGAGTGCAGCAGGCAGTTCAGTCAGCTGGGTAATCTGAAGTCACACATGCGGACTCACACAGGGGAGAAGCCATACAGGTGTGAGGAGTGTAGCAGGCAGTTTCGTGAGCTTGGAAGTTGGAATAGACACATGCGGACTCACACAGGGGAGAAACCCTACATGTGTGAGGCCTGCGGCAGGCAGTTTAGACAGCTCGGAAATCTAAAGAAACACATGCGGACTCACACTGGGGAGAAACCCTACGGGTGTGAGGAATGCAGCAGGCAGTTCAGTCAGCTGGGTGATCTAAAGAGTCACATGCGGACTCACACAGGAGAAACCCCCTATAGGTGTGAGGAGTGCAGCAGGCAGTTTAGTCGGCTGGGCAATCTGAAGACACACATGCGGACTCACACTGGAGAGAAACCCTACAGGTGTGAGGAGTGCAGCGGGCAGTTTAGTGATGTTAGGAATCTGAAGAAACATATGCGGACTCACAAAGGAGAAACCCAGCAGAAAGAAAGACTGTTGGATGCTTTTTAGGGCCACAAGTTATGATATAAGACAATTTGATGCACAATCTGACAACTTTTTTTTGTGTAAGACGTATCAAAATACTGCATGGAGATCGGAAAGTCTACAGGTTCGATGTTATTTTAGCATTATAGGAAGTTCACTAGACACAGACTATGTCTATTATGATATCACTAATAGAAAATTGTTTGGTCTAAGTAATCTCCTTTAATTCCTGCATTTAAGGGACTAGCAGATGATCCCTTTGGGTTATATATATGCCTAACCTATATCTTATATATATTGTTCATTTCTCTTGTTATAGTTACTGTTCATGTTGGCATATAGTTCCCTTGTTTAGGAAACATCCCTTCTGTTATTACCTTACCTTATTCTGCCTTCCCTTCTGTTATAGGTGATATATATTACTCAGTTTCCTTAGTTATGGTAGAATGAATTGCCAAAGATCCAACTAGAAAATTAGTGTTGTAACTTGTAGGGATCTATTTTGTTTTGTTATTTTTAGTATGTTGACTCTATCTTTTCTTGATAATTGACATAAATATTTGATTTGAAAGCCGTTACAAATTATATACTTTTAAGTGAAGTTTACTAACATGTAGTTAATGCTAAAACCTTTGTTTTTTCTTCAATTAGTCTTAAAATGTTGTACAGCACCTACGGGTGGTGTTCTCCTAGGTAATTTTCTTACATTGTTGTTCGGTTTGGTTAACCTTATTTAATTGTTTTGTTGTTATTTTTGTCGCATTAACTTTGATGGTATCGATAAACAATGTACATAATCAGTAACTAACATCGGGAAGTGATTGTACACTTAGCGTTAGGTTTGTAAGAATATACAAGTTTCGTTTCCAGTTCAAGTTTTCTTGACGAAGTGTGTGCCCATATGTTCTATTTTCTGAAAATATATCTCTTGAGTATTTTCAACTCAGTATTTTGTATTTTATTCTATTTTAAAAGATAGTTTTTAGATGGAAAGTGCATGTATATATTGTTACTCCTTTCAACTCAGTAGTTTGTATCTTATTTTAGAAGATAGTCATTCGTAGATTGAAAGTACTTGTACCAGAGTCTGAGCCATTACCACTGACTGCCATGACGTCACAGCCAGTGGACCTAGCAAAAAATATTGTTTCCTGTTTCCCGACCGACCCTAGGAAAACGTCAGACCCTAGCTACAGCCTTTTTAAAAGTTTTCATATTAAGAACTAAATCGGCAATACAGAAGGTAGATTACCCCGTGAATACATATTTTCCAACACTAAAGAGTTTTCTCTGTCACAGCTTGTTGCTGTCACAAATTATTCCCGATTACTAACCTTTGCTCCAAGGCCCGTGCACATTTGTTGGGTAATCAGGTAAAGAGGCTTGACCTCCTGACCCCATCCCGGCTGGGTAGTACTTCCGGGTCACGGCATCGCGACTTCCTGTCCGGCAAGGACGCGGCATCTCGAGCAGTTTTCCGTCTTTGGAGGAGTTTTGCAGCGATTCAACAGGCGACTCGGCCCGGACTGTGTATCAACTAACTTCCAGGTAGGAAAAGTCGGCATGTAGTTGGTATTCAGGGGTTTGTAGAGTTGGCAAACAACGGTTCATGATATTTGTGTGGCGGCGTGCGTTTGGGCCAGTGTGCGTGTGATCTGGGCCGTGCTGTTTATAATTCAGTCAAGGAGATTCAAATACTTGTTTCAGTGCAGCTGCGCAAAGAAATGTCGTAGTTTGGATGTGGAATTGTCTGAGAAATTTCTGGATTGTCCGTTTGAATGTTTGGCTCTCAAATCATTGTTTATGGAAGTTAGCAGCTGCCGCCTGGAATTTGATAACTAGTGAGTGAGGGTCGGTAGGGGGTTACGAGATTATGTTGTGTCGCATTGAAAATTAGCAAAAATATTCTCGCAATCCAGGGGGCAATTTTACAGGATATTCACTGTTATGAAGGGATTCTGCTGTTGGTGTTAAGGAAAGCCTTAATCTAAGACTAAGCTAATCCTGAGTATACTGTAAACCCCTACGCGAGCGCCGACAAATTCTCACATCTGGATTCCATCCCGCCCTGACGCCAGACGGGAGAGTGTGAAAACAACGGGACGGTTCATTAATGATGGGAGACTGTGGTTAACTTTAAATCTCCTAGCGAAACACAGAAAAACATTTGCTGTATATTAAATTGACACGACAGTATTATTGGCAGTTAAGTATCCATCCGCAACTGAAGTATGGGTGGCAAAAATATACAAAACGAACGCCTACAAACACGTCTAAAATAAGCCGAAGCCCACATCCACTGCATAAAAATATGTAGGCCAAGGGACAGTTCACTAGCATCAGTACCATTAGTAACTTTAGACACCTCACTATTTGCGCATCTTTTTTGGTGCCTCAGCCATGTCAACGGTTACATCTTTGAATCTTTGATAGTTGTTTTTATAGTAACTTTTAAGGAGGATGAGCATTGAGATTTACATGCCCTATACGATATAGTACTATGCTATACATCTACTCAACTATAGAGCTTATTCACCACCCTACTCAACTACACATATTTTAGCATGTATTATATTATAGGTCGCTTCTCTCATTGTTTTACAGAGGTTGATCCAGCTCTCGCTGACATGGCAACAACAGGCAGCATAGAAGGGTTGGATGAGGTCATGAGAGGATCAGCAGGGGGTTCCGCCTACACCGTTTCCACCTGGCAAGGAGGATCTGCAGGGGGTTCTGCCAACACTGTTTCCACCTGGCAAGGAGGATCATCAGGGGGTTTTGCCAACACCGTTTGCACCTGGCAGGGAGGATCAGCAGGGGGTTCTGCCAACACCGTTTCCACCTCGCAAGGAGGATCAGCAGGGGTTTCTGCCGACACCGTTTCCATATGGCAAGGAGAAAGCTGTGAGGAGTCTGGAGAGGAAACCGGGAGGCAGGACAAAGGTGTGAAAGTGTTCAGATGTGAGCAGTGCGGTAAGCAGTTCAGTTGTCTTAGTGCTCTGGAGACTCACATGCGGACTCACACAGGGGAAAAACCCTACAGGTGTGAGGAGTGTGGCAGGCAGTTTAGTGAGCTGGGTAATCTGAAGAAACACATGTGGACTCACAGTAGTGAGAAACCCTACACGTGTGAGGAGTGCAGCAGGCAGTTTAGTCAGCAGGGTAATCTGAAGACACACATGCGAACTCACACAGGGGAAAAACCTTATAGGTGTGAGGAGTGCAGCAGGCAGTTCAGTGAACTGAGTGATCTGAAAAAGCACATCCGAACTCACACTGGTGAGAAACCCTATAGGTGTGAGGAGTGCGGCAGGCAGTTCAGTGAGCTTGGTAATCTGAAGAAACACACGCGGACTCACACTGGGGAGAAACCTTACAAGTGTGAGGAGTGCAGCAGGCAGTTTAGTGAGCTCGGAAGTCTGAAGACACACATGCGGACTCACACTAGTGAGAAACCCTACAGGTGTGGGGAGTGTGGCAGGCAGTTCAGTCAGCTAGGTCATCTAAAGACTCACATGCGGACTCACACTGGGGAGAAACCCTTTATGTGTGGGAAATGCAGCAGGCAGTTCAGTCAGCTGAATAGTCTCAAGACACACATGCGGACTCACACAGGGGAGAAACCCTACAGGTGTGAGGAGTGTGGCAAGCAGTTCAATCAGCTGGGTGATCTGAAGAAACACATACGGACTCACACTGGGGAGAAACCCTACAGGTGTGGGGAGTGTGGCAGGCAGTTCAGTCAGCTGGGTAGTCTGAGGACTCACATGAAGACTCACACAGGAGAGAAACCCTACAGGTGTGAGGAGTGTGGCAAGCAGTTCAGTCGGCTGGGTAGTCTTAAGAGGCACAAGCAAACCCACGGAGGAGAAACCGAACAGGAGTGAAGACTGTGGGATGCAGTTTAGCACCACAAGTTATGTTATAAGACTGCTTGATGAACAATCTGAAAACTATTTTAAGATGTGCCAAAGACACTACATGGAGGTGAAAAAGCCTACAGGTTCGATGTGATGATAGCAGTATAGGAAGTTTACTAGAAGACTATCACTAGTATGATAGTAGTATCGCAAATTGTTTGCTTGTAAATTGTTTGGTTGTAAACTCTTTTAATACCTGCTTTAAAGAGTGTAGGAGATAAACCCTTAGGATTGTATACACAACTTTACTTCAAGTTATGATATCTATTGTTAATTTCTTCATTATTATTGTTGCCTTTATTTTGGCATATAATCCTTGTTTTGCTATTTTGTAGCCTGTTGACTCTTTATCTTTTCATTGGTAGTTGACATTTAACTTTTAAAGCCATTACAAAATATAATTTTAGTGTAGTAGATCTAACATGTAGCAAATGCTAACAACTCTAGTTTTCGTGTAATTAGTGTTAACATGTTGTACAGCACCTACCTAACAGTTAGCATTAGGATTGTATGAATGTACATTTGAGTTTCGATTTCCAGTTTAAGTTCCTTGATGAAGTGTGTGCCCACATTTTCTGTTGACGGAATTATATCTTTTGACTACTTTCAACACAGTATTTTGTATTTTATTTGAGATGATAGTATCAGGGTCTGAGCCATTACCACAGATTGCTATGAGTATGACAGCCAGCAAGTGGTAGGCAAAAAGCTGGTGAGTTTATTCACCTGCCAATAATTTGCATTTGCACATCTTTTTAAACAATGAGCTTTTTAAAACCCTTGTCCTACAGTACCACCCATATAGTGCCCTGTATAGGTATGATTTGGGGGTATTTCTCGTGCAACGCATCACACCGCAGTGAAACGCAACAAATGCAGAAGTAACAATGCCACCGCGGGGCAAAAAAAGTCAAGGGTCTGTGACCTGATTAAGACTTCAAATTACTATATTGGAAAGTATTGTGCAAAAATTGCCAGGACAGGGGTTAAGAAGAAACAGGTTTTAACAGAAATGTGCATTCATGATATTTGAACTAAGACACACCAATCTATTTTCTTTGTTAACCGATTTTTCTAGAAAAATAATAGAGCGGGCGGGCGAAAAAAATAAAAACAGGCCTAGGCATCCTACTATGGCCCAAAATGGTATGAGCCATTAAGTCAACACACCAGGCTGGTTCAAAATTTAAACTGAATTTTGAACTTTTAATACCATTTCAATGAAAGATTTTTTTGCATATCAGAAAAAAATGAAGCGGGCGAATCCGTTAACCAAGACATTAAATTGGTGTGGCCTAAGACACTGAAGACACCATGTACATGATTCTAGTAGTAAGACAATGGTTTATTGGAGAAGTTTTAGTCTTTCACAGTGACAAAACAGGAGAAAGCCGTGACACCGAAGCCACCAACGCTACCGTCTGACTAAGAATTTCCACAAAAATAATTTATCAACACATGTATACAGTATCATCTGTACAGTAAATAGCACACATAACCAATCCAAGGGGTAAACCAGGATCCAAGCAGAGGTTTGGGGTAATTTTTGGTGTGTTTTTAGGCTTTTTTTATCGGGGTTTCTCTTTTCCACTGGAATTTTTTTCTCACCCAAGCCAAAAAAATTCCAGTGGAAAAGAGAAACCCCGATAAAAAAGCCTAAAAACACACCAAAAATAACCCCAAACCTCTGCTTGGAGAGTAGATCTAGTGTTCAGGGCTTTGCAAGGTCTATTAGTCAGATACCACATTTCTGCAACTTATTTCCCTTTAGAAAACAAGCCTTCTTTTACTTTAGGACAATATGGAAGGATTTAATTATTTCAACTGCACTATCTTTGACCAAATTTATACCAAAATCCCACCCTAGTAATTTGACATTTTTGTGTAAGATATTTCAACAAACCAGGGAAGTAAGTGATGACTACAGCTATCCAAATACATGTAGTTGTGTCCTATGCTTTCCCTATCTAACGCACAATGTACACTCACTAAAACTCAGTGCTCAAATTGTGTAGATGGAACAGTTTTTTTTTCTGTACTAGGCTGCCTTGGGGTGGCTGGTTAGTTTTAATAACTCATCTGCTGTACATGTACAGGAGTTAATTTTAAACAACAAGGGAGGGGGGAATGGAATGGGGACACAAAAAGATTGTCAATCATTATAAATCAATTGCCTTACAAACAAGTGCATGGTTAGTTGTTCGTGGGAGCCAGAATCGTTGCTCTTGATCTAGTACAACTACATTGCTTTAAACAGACAAATTTACAACTCCTTTTTTTTTTTAATTCAAGCGTATTGCCTTATCTTTTTATCACTAATACAAGTACAGTAGGCACCTTCTGGAGGTCTGTTGAACATTACATGAGTAAGCCTGGGTGCCAGACTACAGCATTTATATTAAAGAAAGTGGAGGGGGGAAGGGCACCAGACAATAACATTTGACACCCAAGTCAGCAAATGGTTACAGGTGGCCAAAGCATGTCGGCAGAGCATACTGCGCCTGCGCGAAACAATGATTTTTCACGATTTTCATTGAAATGTTTGGTCAACATTGCATCAGAATTTTTACCTGTTGCAGACAACACAAGGAAACACTGTCGGGATGTTAACCTTATACGCACGAATACGACTTTATATGAGACGTTCTGTCAAAGTGCTATGCACAATACATTGCAGGTTTCGCACAGGTGCAGTAAGTTCTGTCGACATGCTTGTGGTCAATATAGTCTCCCCTTGCACCCCTAGAACCTTCAAGATCGAAATCTGGGCTTGTGGCTTCCCACGGCAGAAAAGAGTTTCAAATCGCGCTGGGGTCTGGCATCCAGGCTATGCACAAGCAGGTTAGATACACCACAAACATAATTACTGGTATCTTGAAAACTGCTCGTAGGTTTTATTAAAAGATACAACGTTCTACAGCTACTGTGAACAGAATAAATATAAAAGTGAATGTTCCGATGGATCAAGAATTATCGAAATTAGTTCATTAAAAACAATAAGGCAAGGAATCATAGCTGAACATTTGTGGAAATGTAATAATAAAAAAACTTGTACAATAATATTAATACAGTGATTTAAATAATACAGTGGTTCAAATATGTGTAGAATGTGTGTGTGCATTAATAGGTCTTGTTGTGAATGAATACATCTGTTTTTATCATAGAGTTGAAAATTATCTGCCCTTTTTTAATGTGGACTGTGGTTTCACTGAAGTGCAACATGGAAGCAACCATTTCTCATCTGGGGGGACATGTTAAAAACAGTTATTGACAATCCTATACACCAATGGAACACCAGAGTTCAGCAGGCCATGTGATAGTATTCACAGGTGCAGTACCATCAAGCCCTGCTAGGTGGCACTGTTGAACTATGTAATGATTGAATTAGACAGACATTCCATGGATATACAGGACCATCAACTCAACTGGCTTTTTTTTTAAATCCCAGACATATGTAAATTTCCATACAGTCCATAGGTTTGGATGTTGCATGCATTTGATAATAGTTCAATCCAGTGTCACCTCAAAGTGGCCATTTCTTTTTAAGATGAATTTGAAAATGTGACCGAATTTTGACTTGTATCTGAAAGAACAATACATTTTCATGTCCAACAGAATACTTAACTGCAGAATTACCCTGGTCATAAGAAACTTAAATTTTCGGACCCTAAAAAAACACATCTGTTGGTGAAACCCATCCATAATCGAAAAAGATGAAAAAAAATCACAAATTTGTGCTCCCATATTTGAGCTGATGCAAGAACAAAGTTTTCTTCTTAATTTCATACAAGCAATTTTTTTCTGTACAGCAAGGTAAAGACAGAACCCAAGTCAGAGCCATAGTAAGCCTCCTGACCCCACATTTTATTTTGTGGAAGGCCATATTGTATATCCAGTGTATCTACATGTCTAAATCTTGGTTGGAAACACAGTCTAAGCTTGGGGTCTGTATTCTAGAATACCCCCTTCCCCACCAATAAGACTAAAGTAAAAATTCGAGGGGATTCATTCCTCAAGCTACTAACTGACATCTTGCACATGCAGTCGTCCCTCAGTAAGACATCTGGAGCAGTATGCAAAGCTGGTGTGTTATGCCAAAGGCCAGTTATACTGGCTATACTGATAGATACAGATGCAAGATGTCGGTTAGCTGCGGAATGAATCCCCTCGAATTTTACTCCACCAATAAGACTGCATTTTCATGTACATGTACTACCAAAAAAAATCAAGAAAAGAAGTTCTTATTCTTATACAGTCGCACTGTTCTTGACATTAACACCGGGGGGACGTTAACATTATAGTCCACAAGAATACAGTTTGCAGTGTTAGACAAGTCTAGTTGCCCACTTGCCCAGGGCAAGTAAAAAGCACTGTTTAGGCAAGTGCATATCCTCCCACTTTCCCCATTGGGCAAGTATATTTTTTTAATGTCCTGGTTGATAAAGCATACATCATAAACTTTTAAGTGCTTTTTTACAGAAAAAATAATAATTTGCTTGCAGCAAGTAAAAATGCTAACAAATATGTCACATCGTTCAAATCTTTAAGGGAAATGTCAATTTGGGCAAGTAGAAATGACCATGTACTTGCCCAATAAGGCAGGCAAGTGGATGTTTGAAAACTTGTCCAACTCTGCATGAAAGTTCATCTGTGTTGGTACAAATCATTATGAAATAAAGACTGAACTGTAACTTCCAGGACTAGATACAGACTTGACACTTACCCCAAATTTTTGGTTGACTCCATCAACTTTGTTCACGGAATGGACCTGCTACTAAGGTCACGTGTCTCTGACATCACGTTCCAAGAGTAGACGGGTCCATTCCATGAACAAGGTTGATGGAGTCAACCAAAAATTTGGGGTAAGTCCCAATTCTATACCTAGTGTTGGAAGTTAAAGTTCAGTCTTTATTTCATAATTGTCCAACTCTGGTTTGGTCTATAGTAAAGTGTCAGAGAAGAAGAAGATAAAATGGAAGTCGTGGCAAATTATCTGTGTTTGTAGTACAGGCAGCTCATAGCAGGGTGCACTTGGAGCTCTTCTTTTTCTTGACTTTCGTGTCTGGATTCTTACGGTTGATCTGTCGGACGAGGTCGTAGAAGATCTAAGGAGATAAAAACGAGAATATTAATTATCATGAAAGTTCATCTGTGTTGGTGGTTTTACATGTTTAAAGTTAAGACTTTCGATCCAACATAAAAAGTTCTCTCACCTAGAGCTTTCGAATATTACTTGATGCTATACATAAAATGAGAAAGGACACAGACAAAACAAGAAGTAGTAAGGGTAACATTTGAAAAGCAAATGGATAATGTTTATCTTCACATGGGGATGGTCTAGCCATAGTAGCCAAACAAACTACTGCTCTGCTTATTCTTACTCAAACACATTCATGGTGTATGGTGACCAGCCCATCTAGCTCTGTCCTGTTACATTGTGTAATCCAACACCACAGGGTGTCTGCTACAGCACCAGTTACCATGGTGAAAGATACCTGGTCAACTGTCATCGATTGACATTTTTTTGTTTGGAACAGAAGAAAAGAGCTAAGGTAAACATAACTGTCAACCTAGTGACATTTAAGGCACATGGAGCTTTGAAAGACTGACTTACCTCATTAACATTGATCTTGAGTTTAGCTGATGTCTCCAGGAATGCACTGTAACAAGAAAGGCAGAGAAACATTTGAGAAATCTGCTAAGCAAATCACAGTTTTGTGTTTTTATTACATATAGAAAACATGTCTTCTATGCTACAAATTGTGAGAAACAGAGGCTCTAGAAGTTATTTTTGTGTTATTTTCTCTTTTTCCTTTGTAAAAGTATGAAATAAATGGTGGTATTAAGTATTTGACTTAATGAGTCAATCTATTTTCAGGAGTATTAGCACCACCATTGCAAAAATTGTTTCTTCCTCATTTGCACATTGCCGTGTCATAATAAAATGTTCTAAATGTTTACCTTTACAATTACATGGTCTAGTGCAACAAACTACTGCTTGGTTTATTCTTATTTAACAAACGGAAGCTGGCAGCAGAATAATCAAAGCCCGGATATGTACAACTGTATGTATGTATGTGTGCTTTTGTGCTCACCAGTTGTTCCAGTGCCTGGCTAGGTTCTGTCCCTGGTCCTTCCCACATACTGACATTACCAGATAACAGATAAACATGACTGTGTTTTGTTTGTTTGTTTGTTTGTTTGTTTGTTATTTCTTTTGTGCTTACCAGTTGTTCCAGTGCCTGGCTAGGTTCTGTCCCTGGTCCTTGCCCACCACCCGTTCGTCCTCCAGATCACATTTGTTTCCCACCAGGATCATCGGCACCTGAAGGGAACAAGAAGCTTTGATCACTATCATGAAAATTCATCTGTGTTAAAATGGTAGTTACATGTTTAGAGTTAAAACTTTACATCCAACACAGATACCTTGGAACCAGTGTTGACGTCACACTTCAAAGAAGCCACTCGACAAGCCTACTCAGTCTACTGAGGAAGACCAGAGTGACTGGTCAAAAGTTCTAGGTGAGAGAACTTTTTGTGTTGGATCCTAAGTTTTAACTCTAAACAAGGTTCGATCGCGTTATTTTCTGTTATCATGGAAGCGTCAATCAGAATAAAAGGCTGTTATGCTGGGTTAGCAATACAAAGGTATGGAAAGGCTTTTTTCTGCATACCTACACTGGTGGAGGCAACAGCCAAAAATTCATACGTGCCCAGATGTCATCCATATAATCCAATCAACATGGCCGAAGTGTGGCTGTCCGTGTTTACTGAGTCCAATACATCAAAAATGTCACCAGAGAGAAAGCCATTAGAGTTTCCAATTATCTGTACTATCTCATTCTATTCCAATATTGGAAATAGGTGAAAAAGAATGGAGTAGGCCCAAAATGGCAGGCCAATGATGAGACACAAGAATTTCCTTTTGTTTGGTACAACCAAGAAAAATCAATGTTGTGTTTTCGGTCTCTGTCCTAAAAAACACAACATTTCAGCTAAAATGATGTAGCAAATGTAAAAAAATAATTCATTAGGACTGTCTGCAGGACCCACCCTTAGATTTGCTTGTGGAAAAATGTTCCACTGAAGAAAAAGAATTGCTCCTGATAATGCCTGAAATAAATTTTTAAAGGGTTTTAAATTCAGTTATCAGACTGAAAATTTATGGCCTTGCCTACTGTCCATCAAAAAAAAGGCTAGGGTAGGCAGGATTTTGCTAGGGACATCTGGGGAAACTAGAAACAGAATATTTTTTTCCTAGGCCTGCCTACAAATGTAGATGAAGCACAACACACATGATGCACAACACACATGAGACCATGGATGTTCGCTAGCAGAAAATTACCCAGCTTTGAAAAATCACTGTCCTTCTTACAGGAAATTGGATGGGGGATTTTACAGGCCACATTTCTTAACTGCGTCTTCCTTGACCTAAAAATCAATCATTCGCTGTCTTGAAAGATTTCTAAGCTCTTCTCTGAGGTGATAATGTTTTATCGTTAATGGAGACGATTTGGACATTAAGTAGGGCTGCTTCGAGATCCTTTTGTGATCTTCAAGTAAGCCGAAATTTGCAACTTGTTTGAGAAATTCCATTCTGTAACCTACATTAACTCTTTCTGTTGTCTGCTTAATGTCTATGCAATGAGACAGTTGGATGATCAGCTTTATAAATGAACCAGGCCTCGAAATTAACTTTTCTTGCTTATTGGCCCTGCACTGTCCCAAAAATAAATTTCAATTGTCCTGAAGTGAGATGAACTGTCCCAACCTTGTTTTTTGAGGAGTATTGTATGACTGCAACTAGTAGAAGGCAACTTTATTTTGCTTATGTTCTGACTCCCAGGTGCACTATAATTGAAGAGTAGACAGGAAATTCGGGGGCACTTTTCCGGGACCAAAAGCCAGGATGTGCCCGATAAACAAAAGAAGGGGTAACATTCTGATGTTGATTTTTTTCTATTATCCCCAAAATGTCCCGAATTTTAGTTGTCCCAGCCTAAATTTCAGTAGTCAAGTGGCCATTGACTACTTTAATTTCAAGCCCTGATGAACCGAGCTTCATCTTGGAAAAGAGGCTACGTTTCTCACCACATTAGAGCTTGCACACTGTCAAAGGTGCTTCCTTCTTAGCACCCATTCAGAGACCTCAAATGGTCGTATCTGTGACCTCAATCTCTGCTAATAGACCTTTAATCAAATGCCGCCTGCGTAAGTGTCAGGTCTGGAGTTGAGCCCACTTAATGTTTTTACGGCTTCTAAAATATTTCTTGGAATTAAACGATATGTCACCTTCAGGAAAAAAATTTTGAATATTATACGCATTTCTTATATGCAAGCTTTTTGCTGAGGCAGATGCCACTGATTTTTCTGAATTCTTGCCAAATCTGGCTCTTTTTCCCCAGGATTTTTTTACCTGACACTAGGGTGTAACTTCAGTATCAGTATAGCCACTATGGCCGCCCTTCGGCGTAACACACCAACTTTGCAGGCATGCGGCACATTACACCGAACAACCTGATACACCCAATCTTTGCCTATTAAATTGCAGGAGTTGTTTAAAGTTGATGATGCCCCAAATGCGGTTGGTGGCAACGAGTTCCAGTCTACAATAGTTGTTGGGAATACCAGGTTTTAAACTCCCTGATCCTTGGTTCTTAAAGGCATGACAATTTCATGTTCTTTTCTGAGCTGGTATTAGGTACTTATTGGTTGGTACGACCACCTGTTCATTAGTCATTTTGTACATCATGCACAGTCTGGACATTTTTCTTCTGTCTTCCCGTGACACCCACAGGTTTCCTTTCATTCCCAAACACTTTATTCCCAGGATTTTTACCTGACACAAAGGTACTACCTACGTCATCAGTGTCCTTGACTCGGAGGATCTGTTCTCTCAAGTCCTGCAGGTCGTTGAAGGTGGACTGTGCTGTGATGGAGTAGACCAGGACGAAGCCCTGCCCGTTCTTCATGTACAAGTCTCGCATCGCCGTGAATTGTTCCTACAACAACGGCACAACAATGCTATATCAGGATGGGCCTGGCTTAATTCAATACACTGAATTTGTTAACTATTTGGAATTTGTAAATTTCCTCCTCCATCATATGTAGAGAGTACAAAGATGAATATGCAAGAGGACTGAAAGTCAGGAAGGATAGAATTTGAGACGGAAAATAACAAGTGATTGTTGACACATAACTATTGTATTGTAACATGAAATGACAGCACAGGTGGTGAGAAGTATGGCAGTTAGTTAGCGATACTCATAGACTACATATGTATTGGGGAGGGTACAGTAGTACTAACATTGCTAGTAGACTTTGTACAGACAGATAGACCAGCCAGTTCAGATGTTGTACCAACTTTCAACTGCCTAGAAAATTAGTAGAATGGTGTCGTTGAGAGTTTCATTTTCAAGACCTTACATGCAATCTTCGACTCTCAAAAAGAAAAAAAAATTTGCCCAGTATTCATGCAGGGCTCCCCCCTCCCAAAATGTTCAATTTAGGGTTTTCTCTTAGCATTTTCATGAAAATTTGCGGATATTTTTTTCACATCATCAACCAATTACGGAGCACCTCTCCCCTAAAAATTTCTGGGGAGACCCCTGTCATGACTAGATAAGATTTCAGCTGGTACAGCATATGACTACGCAGGAAACATGGACAAACCTTTTGCCTCCTGTTCAACACTAAGTTCTGTCCGGTTCATACATTAGAAGAAAAATGGACTGTTTAATTACAATCGTACTAGACCCTCTGATAGAATGCCAGTGATGTAAATAAAGTCAGTGACAGCGTGAAAATGAGTAGGAGAGTGCAAGAAACAAGACAGCACATTTCAGAGAAGTAGAAACAATATTTGTGTAAGTTGAATGTACAAGTAACAAATCACAAATGCAGAGAAATGCATGACAGGTCAATGGCATGACGTAAATGTGCATGTGTACTAGCCTTGTTACCAGACGTATTATAGCTCCCGAGTCCTACAATGTACCTCTCTGCAAATAGGATGTCGGACTTGGGAGCTATAATACACTGTAGGCCTGGTAACCAGGCTACATGTGTATGGGGTATTGGAATCCAACAATATCCAACACCACATAGAATGAGAAGCAACGTTTTTCTCATTTTATAAGAAAAGTCCCTCTCTCAAAATTTTGATTAATTACCGTATTTGTATTTACTTTTGCAGTGGTTTTAATTTGCAGGAAGGTTTTTGTGAGTTCATGGTAGAAAGAATTCTGAAGAACAATAGGAGTATATATAATTTAGAAAAAAAATATTTGCGGAGTCAAGATTTTGTGTTTAGGGGACACACAGAGAAAATAAAACCACCGCAAACGTACACACATTCACAGTACAACATTTTGTAGATTATTAAACGATCACAATCATCACCCAGTGTCCACACTACTTACTGTGCCTGCTGTGTCCAAGATCTCCAGCATACATTGCTGTCCGTCAACCTCTACTTGCTGCAGAAAAACAAAGACACAACGTTAGTTTTTATTCTCAAGCAGTTACAAAACGGACCAGTTTCCTTCAATCACCTGAGGGCTCAATTATTTGTGCACAGCTGTACTGGAACAGGTAAATTACCTGCACCATTCAGAGGTTAGGAAATATGGATCACAGTCAACTGTTCAATAAACCACTACCATTATTTCTTTTAAACTTCATTTGTGGTTACAGTCAGAAGCTTAAATATCAAACTCTGGCTATGCAGCTAGCTAAAACATCAACATGTATATTGTAATTTCGTATTCTTGCACATGTTAGGAAAAATGAAATAATCCTTTTTCCCAGAAGTACAAACGGGTTGATTGAATAATTTCATTGCTTCCGAAGTGAATTGATTTCTGCATAAATCGTGACACACCAAGTAACATGACAAGACACTTATGTCAATACATCATACTATTCAGACAACAAAAATACTAATAAACTTAACGAAACACAGCAGTAACAAAGAACCTGTTCTCTCTTTGCAACAGAGCTCATTACCGGCAATCACATCAAAAGATGAGTAAGTAGTGAGTAAGTATTATCAATTATCTAGGATATTCCATCACATATTAATTGTCTGTTCATCCTGGCTTTATCATACATGAAATATGATTGCCTTAACAAGGTTTCCTTGAATAACACACATACTCTCATCTGCACTCCCTTAGATAGTATTTAATTTCAGACAAGAAACAGAAGAAACATTGAGTCATCGAATGACGTCATAACCCTCCATTACATTAGTCCATAAAGTCTTTTATAATAACATAAAACCCGCTGTGACCACAGACCCTGGATAAATCTCGTAATTAATGCCGTTTTAATATCAGCTTAGCCCGTGACGAATGCGTTGGTCTGCGTTAGATTTCACGCAAGAGTCATTACGACTTGCGTACATCCACCCACCACGTTTCCGTCTGGGCGGAATTAATCACTTTTCCACGGAAATGCCTAAACGCTCTGAGATTCTCTGACGCAAGAGTCTGTGATTTCTTTGCACGAAGACTCGATATGTCAAAATAATGATTTGGGTAACACTCCAAGGACTTATGGTTATGCTTAAGCCTAGGAAAAAAACATTGTGTTTCCTGTTTCAGTCCTGAAAAAATTTGGGTCAGTAGGTTTCTTTTCCACAGAGAGGCCTAAATGCTCGGAGATTCTCTGACGTAGGAGTCTGTGTATCGCTGATTTCTTTGCACCGAGACTCGATATGTGAAAATAATGATTTGAGTAACACTCAGAGGATCCAAGGACTTATGCTTAGGACTAGGAAAAATATTGTTTCCTGTTTCAGTCCTGAAAAAATTTGGGTCAGTAGGTAGGGATTATCTTTTTTTTGTTTCTTTTTTTATTTGACGTTGTCAATTTCTAGTGAGCAAACTTATACAATGTACAGTTTAACAAAGTAAAAGTTGCATGAGGACACTTATTTTCAATATTAATGTTGTAAAACTGATACAATGAACAGTGAACCACAGCTTAACGTCCCGCCCTAATGTTGGGTGACTGACGACAGCTGGGATTCGAACTCCCAACCTCATGATCCAGAGGCAGGGCCGCACGCTATAAAAATGTCATCGCTGTCAATAATAATAGACAGTTCAAATACAGATGTGGTAATGTAGCCCCGTAGATTCGATAGTGTAGATTCTACAATGCATTTTTCGAGACAGGAAACATTCAAGACTGAAAAAAAATTTTTGAGGAAGCAAACTATAGATCCCTGGAAACAGCCACTGACTCAGACTTGCAATGTACAACAGGATTTTTCCAGCCTTTGTGATGTCACATTGAATGAGCTGTGGTCATGCCAACAAAAATGTCATTCTTGAATTTGAAAATACTGGGCAACACGACCACATTTGACTGCCTGTTTCTAATGCTACCCAGATGACTGAAAAACAGTCTTTTCAATAGTAGGAGGATCTCTTCCTACAGGAAGTGCGTGGTTTTAAAAGCTGTTTATTAGATATTCCTAAGGGAAGTGGTTTTTAAAAAAAGCACGCAGTTAGGATTAGCCAAGTGACGTCCCTCCTTTAAATTCCCACTAATCACAAGTGTCATACACTAGTGAGTGATGTATCAGACATTCGTGTGGAGTCAGTCTGTGTTGGGTTTATAAATTATGCAGACTCTCTGTTACCTGCAGTCGGTATCGATTTTTTCTCTCATCTGGGAGACTTTGGTAACATTTTATATAAATCACAGCTCACATGAGATTTCCTGTAGCATACTTCATGGTACACAAACTTCTTGACAAGTCAGTTGGAATATGGTTCAAGGATCCTGATCCTGAAAATAATTTGTGTATAGCGTTTGTCTTTTCTGTCTTAAATGAGCTAAACTGGATCAAGATCACTTAATATCTTTTTTTTGACAGATAGATTTCATTTAGCCTCTACCAGGCTTCAGGATGCGGCTGCAAAGAGTATAAGAAAATTAAATCATCCATAAATGGACAGATAGCATGCCAAGGAGCGGCAAACTGTACTCTCCAGCAGACCAACTCCCTCAGCATGTTATCCCTCTATTTGGCCAATTTCTACTCTTTCCAGCCGCCTCCCGAAGCCTGGTAGAGGCTAAATTTCTTGCTGCCAATGCCAGGATGGTTAGAAATAAAACAAATCGGTACTTTTACAGTAAATGTACAGTTACATTTGGGCCGGAGCCAACAACAACTTCTAAATCCCCCCTTCAGTCAGACAGCAGATGCCAATGTTTGGAATGGCTCTGCCAACAATCTCGGATAAAAACACTTTTGTTCCATAGCGGTGCTCCAAGTCCAACATCAGTTGCCTAGCGACTAGGGAATACCAGACAGCGGAGTTTTGAGACATGCTGCTGAGCTGTCAATCATTTCTGTGGGGTTCCACAAGGTGGTTAGGCACAGGGCCCGGGGCCAGTTCTGCTCAGTACTCTATGTTATAACCATGACATACTTGTAGGTAAATGTTACCCAGGTAACTAGAAACAGATTTTGAAAACTGTCAAGACAGCCTATATGTGTACACTATTTGCATTGATCAGTGACTAACATATTCTGTAGTTAATTTTTTGTATTTATCCAAAAACTAAGAGTAAGAATTGATATGTCAAAATTCTATGGACTATGAAAAGCTTGTCTTCACATATCAAATCATAGTTCTGTTCAACTAGAGATTCTGTTAAAGACTTTAAGTCACTGATGAGAATTTAGAGAAGTAGTGGATGCCACTTGAAACATCTGACAGTTGCTTGGGTAACAATTTCCTACTAGTGTGTCTCATTATCTGAATGTCTAAGCTTCAATGACACAACCTACCTACTTCCCTTGATAAATTGATAAGAGAATTGGCAACCGCTTATTATATTGACTCAAACTCACCATTAAAGAAACGCATCATCATCAAACAACTAAGTACACATATTTTTTCTGTCTCCAATAGCAGAAACGTCATCCATCACAAAGGCTGGGCCTGGCAATCTTCCAAATTGCTGAGGCCATGGAAAATAAATGTTGTGTTTCCTGTTTCCCAACCAACCCTAGAAAAACCTGCCGACCCTAGACTTTTTTGTGGGTGGACCCCTGCAAGGGACATGTATTTTTTGAGCTGATCAACCTTTTCTAGCTCTATGATCTGACATGTACACCAGAGTGATGAAACATTGTACAATTGGTTTTCAAACATTGACATTGATGATAAAAGTGTCCTTATACAATACATTTAATGAAGAAAAACCTTGCATAAGTTGTGCAAGTTTTACTTCGTTAAACTGCATCGTATAAGTTGGACCCAAAATATATATAAAAAGATAACCCCTACCTATCGACCCTATTTTTTTTCAGGACTGAAACAAGAAACACAACATTTTTTTCCTAGGCCTAAGAGTAAGACAAAATCTGGGAGAATACACATTATGTTCCTTTGGGGAGCTGGGCCCCTGAGCTAGCTAGGACTCTTTCTGATTGACATCAGCTACCTAAGGCAGTATTGGGCCTGGGAAAGGTTTTTGTAGCCCTAGGATATAAACCCATTGCAGCTAAATTGTTTGATTGCGCATCTAGAGCGGAGTCCCGGAGAAAAAGAGTCCTGGAGGACATCTTCTGAAAGTTTTCCACTGCATGCAATGCTGTGATAAGCAACAGACCGTTCCAAGGCACACCACAAGCAATTTTAGAATTTACACATTGTAAGATTAGAGTTAGAGTATAACTTCAGAACGACAGTTGAAGAAAAGTGGAAATGACGTTTGGTTGGACTTTCTCCGGCAACTTTATCTCCCACGACATTTGGCAGTGTTTTAAATAAATAATGATCAAGTGTAAATAATGATAACACTTACGATGGGCAATTTTAAATAGGGGTATTGGACAAAAATTTTGTTTTGTTGTTAGCCATTAACAGTGTAGCTTTTTAGAAAGAGCTCATTAAACTGAACAAAATGGTTTTTGTTTGAAGTAAATCGGATGTTGTATGGCGGAGATATTTGTAATTTATGTCCCCATTTTGGGGTCGTCGTTGTTACGAAGTCGGTAAGATACGCCATTTTTATCATTTTTCATATGCTAATATCATAAAAACGAAACATCACACAGACTTCAATTTACTTGTACAATGCTCTATTGATATCATATTAAATGATGTGTAAAAACCAGAATCATTGCATCATTATTTACAGAAATACATAATCCTGAAATATTGAACAATATGCCCTTCGGGAGCACGCATGGAAACCGTTGATTTTGGCAAAATGCCAAAAATTTCTAAGTCCCCCTAATTACATATGCAAAACCACAATAATTCCACTATACTTAAACATATCTGATCCAAATTCACATCTAAGGGGTTTGGACACACACTGAATCCGAATTTACAATCAAAAGTGGCATATCTTATCTCCATATCGTGCTTTTATGACTTTATTGCCGTCGGCCTAATTAATTATGCGCGAATGCATTTTCTCCCATGTCTTTCATTGTATGTCAACATATTTCACATCTAGGGGGTTTTGGCACGTGCTGAATCCAAATTTGCTATCAAAATTGGCATATCTCATCATCTTATAGTACTATTATGAATTTACACACAGTTTTATGACGTTCCCTCATTATATATGCATCGACAGATTTTCTTACAGAACATAGATTGTTTTGTATACATTTATCCATCTTCTACTATATAAAACTTATCTTAAAACTTAACAATATTAAAGTCTATAGAGATCTATTGGTCCTAATCTTACTCATGTCCTTTTCTTCTTTTTCAGGTTCCTCTTGGACTTGACGGCACGCTGTGTTTGGGCGAAGTACCTGTTGTAATATTGCACATACTGTTTATCTATCTCTTCACATAGCTGGCTTAGTGTTTCTTTAGAAACTATTTCAGGAGGGTTGTCCCAGCCTTTGTCCAACACATGACGTGTTATTCCAGCCTTTGCACACTCTTCTCCAACCTTGTTGGGGTCTTCCTTTTTCTTAGGTTTGTAGACTGAGCTTACAGGTGATGCAAGAAGGTTGTCCAGGTCTTCCTGTCCACACTCTTCAGCTTTCTTCCAAATTTTCTTCAACACATTCGAGCAGTACGTCGGCAGCTCCACAGCACTGTCGATGGCATGGACAAGCCCAGGAAGATGTTCGTTGACACTCATGCCCTGGTCACGTAGCCCACACTCCAGCAGAAGTAGTGTGGAGCATAGAACTGTTTCACAGTTTGCTGCAAAGAATAATAAAAAAAATGAAACTATATTAATTTAAATTATATATTTATATATACATACTTGTGTTTATATATGAATACCTGTGTAAGTACCTATGGCACCTGTACTAACACTAAGTAACAGTTTGTAAACAATTTAAAAAAATTAAATTAAAAAAAAATTAAAAATAATTTAATGTAACTAAGTAAATTTTAGGTTTTCACAGAGAATTAAAAAAATATGAGCATAAAGAAATGTTGTAATAGCGTGGCAATAAAAAGAAAAACAGATATTTCCCGTTAAAAAGAAATGTTATGAAAAAAATGATCTTATCCTGACCTAAGGTATTACCCAATACACAAACGTCACGCCCCCCTCCCACCCCATACGACGACACAACAGACGCGACGCAAACGAGCCCCAAAACACGTATACAACAACAAAAATATACATATAAGAACAAGATAACGAACTAATGTATCTTCAAGAAAATAATAATGCTTCGAATAGCGGAAAAGTCACGATTTATCCGGCTGGAAGGCTCATTTTTGCCGACGATTCACAGCTAACAATACACTGACATGTGCTTCGTGTCCATATGTGACATATCGAAGCAAAAACGGACAAAAGGGCACACAAAAACACGTTAAAACTCCCAAAATACTTGAATAAATACCTTACCTGGTTTTTGGCCGGTCGTGATGAACTCTACGACGTCGGATGGCGTAAAATTTGCGGCGGAATGGCAGCGCTCCGGCACGTAGCTGTAGCTGCCCACGGCCGCCATTGTTGTTTACCCGGTTGAAGCCAAAATCGTCCGGAAAGTAACCCCATATTCCGCGCGTACAGCAGGATCGCACATATGCGAATCTTGCATCAAATTAAAGCTAATGTTCTGAATTTTCATATGATGGTTTCCTTTTAAAATTGCCCCGGGGGCAAGTTGTGGAGATATCGCACTTTGAAAGTTTCACATGCGGACAACTTTCGATCCTGACGTCGTACAGAAAAAAAGAAGGCATTTTTCGAAAGCTCGTATTCTTGGCTACAAATTAGTGGCTAGTTTTTTCTGGATTTTGCACACGGTACGCGCGGGCGGGCTCCGGCGATCAGCGCCTTCTTGAAATTTTCGGCACGGGGAGGGCGCGCACATGGCGCCGCCGGGAAAACTCGCGCGACCCGATCGGCGATTTCGCGCTTACCATTGAAGGTATCTTAATAAAACTTGGACAAAATAAGAGATAAAGAGTTCCTTCAACTACTGATACCAAATTTCAAGTATTTTTACTTTGTTATATACTCGTTTGAACGCTCTAAAATCGCCCCATTTTCGGTGTTTACCGGCCCCGTAACAGGTATTATATGGCGTCCAATACCCCTATTTTAAAATAACATACACAATATAAGATTAGAGTATAACTTCAGAATGACAGAGGAAAATTGGAAATGACGTTTGGTTAGACATTCTCTGGCAACTTTATCTCCCACGACATTTGGCAGTGTTTTAAATAAATAATGACCAGGTGTGTCATCGTAAAAGATTTAAAAAGACCTTCGGTGGGCTTGTTCTCCTAAATCAGTTTTTACGGAGTAAATAAATAATGTAAGATCGCTCCTTGGAAAGCTTTGCAAATGTCTTTTTCCTAGCCATCATAATTACTTGTGTTAAAACTAAGACATTATTGTACATCAAGGTTATTCTGAAACAAGTTTGAAATTTTTGACTGTGCAACTCCAGTCTTTGTCAAGTTACAAGCAATCCACCGCTTCTGTGACGTCATGTTATGCACACATGGCACATGAATCTAATTCCTTGACAAAGACTGGAGTTGTGCAGTCAAAACTTGGTATAAGTCCAATATTTTGTATTGGAAACTACAGTTTAGACTTGCTTCAGAATGACTTCTATTCAACACAGATGAACTTTCAAGATAGCATCATGGTTAGATTCATAACATTAAGGTTAGAAATACAAGGTCCACCACACCACATGCACAGCACATCAATTTTAACACTACAACAGCACTATTATTATAGTAACTCTTCCAGCTAAAAAATAGTCTAGCAGCCGACGCTTCTGATTCAACAAGGCCGCTCCAAGAAAAGCAGAAGAGGGCAAAAGTGACAAAGTTTAACACGTGAACAGAACAAACCAGTGCTGTATCACTTAACTTCACGGCACGTCACCAGTTGCACTGATCCACCACGAAGCTTGGCCCTCACACCAGAACTACTCTATTCTTCAGCCAGCCAGCTACATGTACAAGTTGTACATTGTCTTTGTAGCTACCTTTTACCCTGTGCTTTTGGTTAAATCATTAACCTTCAATATGCTGGGTTACGGGTATCAATTACATGGTCTACAGAGTGATACACAGCATGGTAAAGGTTATGGATCAAACCAGAGGCAGGGTTTTGAGAGAGGACTGGTTTGGAGATTAGAAGTCAAGTTAGTGGGTCAAATTCAAAGGTGCCTGTAACATCACTTGACTTGGTTCAACCTTAGTTACCGACTTCCGGACACCTTTGACTTTAAGTTAACCCTCTTCTTGAATCACGTATCCATGAAAGCAAAAATCACATTTCCGCGAAAGCAGAAAATTTGGTTGGTGATTATGTTCGGATGGATGAAAGCTTTCCGAGTTTTACTTCCAAACACAACTATCTTTCAACGTGTTATGAGCTACATTTGTTATGAGCCTATGCAAACAAACAACAAATGACAACCATGGTGTTTCACATTCTGGCTGGGTTAAAAATTTGGTTAGTCTCTCTCTGGTAGTGCACAAAAGTTGTGAGGTAAAAAAGGAGGTAGCCACACTATTAATTGTGAGAAACCATGGGCTGGTCTGATTAAAACTGGAAGCAGATTGCTGTAAGGCCTAGGAAAAAAAAAGTTGTGTTTCCTGTTTCAGTCCTGAAAAAATTAGGGCCAGCAGGTAGGGATTACAAGTATCTTTTTTTCTTCTTTTTTCTAAACTTCAGTGATATCTATATAAGAGTCCAACTTATACAAATACACTTTAACAAAGTAAAACTTGCATGAGGACACTTATTTTCTCAATGTCAACGTTAGAAAACCAGTTGTACAATGTTTCATCACTCAGGTGTCGGATCATGTAGCTAGAAAAGGTTGATCAGCTTAAAAAATTTATGTCTCTTGCAGGGATCCACTCAAAAGAAGGCTAGGGTCCGCAGATTTCTTCTAGGGTCGGTCAGGAAACAGGAAACACAACATTTTTTCTAGGCCTAAATGCGCTCGCTAGCTGGTGAGGGCTCAAACTTGCGAGAGGACCGCTTGCTGCACACCGAACGCGTGCACCTACCTTCCGGTAGCAATCCTCGATCGTTGGATCATACTTCTCAACAAAGATACCCTGTACGAACTGCACCGTCTGTGGGTGGAACAAACAGAGAAAAAGAGAGTTGCATGCACAGTGCAGTGGCGGGTGGGGGGGAGGGCGGGTTTTTACCCCCGACACACATACCTTTCTGTAGCTGTCCTCAATGGTAGGATCATACTTTTCCACAAAGATACCCTGTACGAACTGCACTGTCTGAAAAGGGAGAGAGATGTTTCAGGCTATGGAAAGATCACTACGACATTAGGTTCATCTCTTCACCCTCTATGTGGATGCAAGCATCGGAAAAATGAGAATCGAAATCTAGAACTGTTAGACGAGAAAAGCAGGCGTTTGCATGAATCAGAGTGATTTCTTTTTTCCAGCTAAGAATGGATTAAGGATGCCTAGAGGCGGGACTACAATAAGAAATGCAAATGATTGGTGCAGGTTAGAATAGAAGGTTTGTATTTGTTGCTAAGAGCTCTACAGAAGAGTTTTGAGAGTTTGGATTTTGCAGTTAGTTCAGGGCGGAGCGGAAAGAAACTTAGAAAGGGTGGAGGAAAATTTGTACAGACAGTGCAGGACTATACAGTGGACGTGAAAAATGACAAAAACAGTGTCCAGGTTAATTCCGGACTTCCAGTTTAATTCCGGACTACTTCCCATATCTCAGCAACCTTACATCTAGATGGGCTAATGTCGTTAACTGCAGGTAAAAATCATGTACGAAATATGTAGCAGCCATTGAGGACCCCTTAGGTGTTAACCCAATTCTGCAGAATTCTGGCTTCAGTCTCAGAATTCTGACTCCAGTTCAGAATTCTGCAGAATTGGGTTACACCTAAGGGGTCCTTGATGGCTGCCACGTATTTCTTACATCATTTTTACCTGTAGACATTAGCCCATCTAGATGTAAGGTTGCTGAGATATGGGAAATAGTCCGGAATTAAACTGGACTGTCCAAATTTAATCCGGACGCTGTTCAAAACGATGCTGATACTGATAGTGCATGGACAGCTGCAAATGGGTGGGGTGTGAAGCATTTAAACAGAGGAAACAATACATGTACACTGTGCGGGATTGGGAAAGAGAAATATCACAATAATTTAAAAACAATGTCTTTACACTAGTTACAAGTCTATGAGATGACAGAAACATACATGCATTAATGATATTGATGCACACACTATATATATACATATATTTGAAACATAAAGCACATATACAGCACTGAAAGACAACTTTGTAGGCAATTTTAAGTGCATAATCACATATAAAAAGGAAAGAATCAGAAATCAAACATATAGCTTAGCAAGGGTCATGCAGACTATTGCTCTACATGCATTTCATTTCTGACAGAAATTACAGAAAAAAAAAACAAGTATGTGTAATACTACAATTATCATGCCATTTTTATACAACAATATCACCAACAATATCAATCACATAGTATGGCCACAATAACAAAATCTCTTATTTTCAAAAATCAAATTTAAGAGTGACCCTGATTATAATAATACGCCATTTCATTTGACAAGCTGTGAAGGAAATATCTATATGAATAAAAAAGAACTTTGGCTTTAGTATTACAATTTGGACTCAGAGAAACAAGTGATTTTGTTGTGGCCTTGGCACAATAAACTAGCCTGGGTACCATCCTACTTATATGCCGGGGCTCCCACTCTCGCT